ACCAATTCTTCCTTGAAAAGAACGCCATTCGTTACTTGTTTCAAAAGGTAAAGAGTTTCTTTTTTTGAGTAACGATAACAGATAACGTTACTCATTACTTTTTAAATTCTTTCTTTAAAAATATAGGAAAAAATATTTTACTTAAAATTTTGAGATTTTTTTTTTATTTAATATTGCATAAGTCGAGATTTTAATTAAATTCAAGCAACAAAGTTTTTATTTATATTTTATTATTACATTTTGTATATTATACAGTCAAATCATTGAATAAATGAGGTATGTTAATTCTCTAATATTATAATTTATCTAAGAATATATGTCATTAGTATTTTTCAGATTCAGATGATTTAACTCTCCCCTGGCACAAGTAAGAAAACATTTACACGAAAAGTGCGTTATTGCACTTTCTATATTTAGATTGTGCCCTAATTTAAATATTTTACCTCGGTGTCCAGCAGCTCAAATCTTAAATAAAATGAATGTAATTATATGAATTTCAGATTAAGTTCAGATAAAGATAAAAAATAATAATGAGGATGTGTATGAAGATTCTTGTAAAGATTATCTAAAAATTGTTTTGCAAATAAAGATCCTTATATAAATATTTTTATCCCCAAATCAATTTTTCATTTATTAAATAAAATACAACCTCCCATTTTCTGTGCCAGTTAAAAAGGTTTTGAACACTATGCACTCTTGTTTTTATGATAATTTTTAAAATTAATGTTGAAAAATATAAAAAAAATTATTACAAAAAGAACTTATCCTATAATATATTATTTTTGTATAATTTTATTTTTATTACATTGGAGTAAGTTACGAGTAACACGTTACTTTTATTGAATAGCAGGTAACGTATTCTCTTGATAATTAGGACAACTGTTTCAATCATATTGCAATTGACCACTATTAGAAATAAAAGGTCTTAGTCCTTCATAGTGAAGCTCAGGTCCAGTCTGATGTTCGGGCCGGACCACGGTCTTTAAAAGATTAATCCAGAACATGGTTCTAAATAAAATGGCCAGTCCAGGGCCGGTCTTTTATTTATTTTGTTATTTTAAAAATATTTTGGCTTTTACCGAATTTAATGCTTGTTTATTGAGACTATAAGTAAAATGCTTCTTTGACAAATTTATGGTACATGTTGGAAAGTAAAAATGAATTAAAAACTCACAAAAACTAAAATAACTTCATTAAAAAAATAACATAAAATAAAATATACAAGAAAATTAGGTAAAAAATTAGGTAAAAAAATTAGGTAAAAAATTAGGTAAAAAATTAGATAAAAAATTATAATAATTGAATAGTTAAGCAAACTTAAATATTAATAGACTGGTTCGACGATAAAAAATAAAAAAACCAAAAAATTGGTATGCCATTCCATATAATAAAGTTAATAATTTATAAAATATTATCATTGAATAGATGAGTCTAATGATAAGATGAAATGTTAACATTAATTATTTATTGTAATTTTTAATTTATAATATAATTCTTAAATAATATATTATGGCCATTTGAAACCAACCATGGTTGAACTGGGGAAGAAAATCAACTTTCACATAAACTCAACAAGCCAAAAAGTATTGAAATTAATAGTCTTGTTTGATGATAAAACCTTCTGGCACATCATATAACAAATTAATATCCTATGTTAATTTCTTTTATCGAGATTAAAATATTTGCGAATTTAGGAAAAGATTCTATATTCTCTTCATGGGAAATATTTTGTCGACATTATCTATACCAAAATTATCTTCAATATCAATCACTACTGTCGACATTTTAAAATTTTAATTATTTTGAAAACTAGATTTATATAATGCATATTAAATATAAATTTAAATTTAAATTTCAAAATTAAATAAAATAAAATAAAATAAGGATCATGGTTTTATAATTAATTATAAAATTATAAATATATTTAAATAATTTTTATGTGTATTTATTATATAAAATTGATAGTAGTAAGCTATTACTTTTTTAAAATTTAGCGCGCTAAAGCTACCGCTACTGAAAAAAGTAGGAGTTCCAGATTTTTTATATAAATTATAAAATGACTCAAATCTATATGAAAAATTGTCTACAATTCAGAAGATAGGAATTAACATGTTGGAATATATTTAGGGTAAAATAAGATTTTTAAATTTAAAAAAAAACTCGCTTAACATTGCCGGAAAAATCCCTTGATTTATAAAATTTAAAAAAAATATTTATTCATAAAGTTTTGACCAAACGTGAACACGTTTACTTTTTTGAATGATTCTTTGTAGAAATGTTTACAGCACTATTACACATTTTTGACTATATTATAGGAAGTATACTTACCGAAGATCTTCAATAACATAAATTGATTTTTGATCAATTCCAAAAAGATGCATCTAACGTGAATGAAATTCATTTCAATCACAAAAATTGTACCTAATTTTTTAAAAAATACAATTTTGGCTGTTACATGTAATATTTTTATATAACCTAACTAGGCGAAATCCCAATAGACAAAGGACGGATGGTAAATGGCAAAGGTTAAAAAATCCAAAAAGAAAGTCCTTAATTTTTCAATAAATGATAACTATCGTTTTAACTAACATTTATTCATTCTTAAAATAAATTATATAATAAATTTTACTAAAATAATTTTAAATATGCCAACAATTATTTGTTAGAGGAAGAATGCAACAATGCTTAAATTTATTAAGATTGTAATTTCTATGAGAATTCCCAAATTTAATATTGTTCCCTTCTCAATGGATCATAGAGTGATATCGAAGTTAGAGCGATTTTAACCAATGAAGGGATTATAAATACTCATTACGAATTATCGAAGGAAAATAATTTCAATTCTTCTAAGGGCACCATTGGGACCAAGATCTTTGCTTAGACAATTGTCATCAAGACTTTTTCTGCTTTTTAATAGTAGTTAATAGGAATTTGATTGGTACTTAATTTGGTAAAATTAGGAAGTTGTCCTAATTACCAAGAACCCAAATTATAATTTATTAAATTTCCCAAATTAGTTAATATAAAAAAATAAGTAATATTAAATCATTTCTTTTAGTATTAGGAATAGTCCTGATTTTTATTATAAAATTTAAAGACGATATGTAAAATTAAGGAATATTTATTTTTTTTGTTTTTTTTAAGGATAATAGTCTTGATTTTTAGTATGAAAATTTAAGGACAATATCATGCAAAATTAAGGAATTTAAATGTAAGCCATTTATATTTATTCAAATCAATATCTATTTATAGTTATTTAAATTAATCAAAATAATTATGCGACTATTATAAATTAGGGGTAAATGGATAGCTATTGAGCTATAATTTGTATTAATGTATTAACCATCCATATCTATGGCAATTTAACCAGGTCAAAAAAAAATGGTACATCAGGGGGCAAAGGGAATATCATAATAACTATTCATTATCGACCTACTTAATGAATTATTATATAACAAAATTTTATATAAGGCACATATCATATTGAAATATGAATTTTATTGAAATTCGGAATCACTCAACTTTAAAGCATTCTTAAGACGATTTTAAAATCTAAAAGCTCTGATTTGACCGAAAATGTATTGCAACTTATAGTCTATTAGGATCCATGATTATTCTTTATTCTCACTTTTAAATCATTTATTAAGAGCGTTTTATATTTGAAAATTTTGATTTGACCTGAAATGTATTCCAGCAAGTGTGGAATACCTATATTATAAATTTCAGATAATATTCGCGATGAACCTTTGTGCAGTTTTTAATTCATATGAAAAATCTATAATAGTATTTTAACTGTTTTGGGTAAAATTGTCTAAAATCAGTGTGTATAAATATGGACGAAAAAATATTCTAAATTTGTATGCAGCTACTCTTCCGAGTCTTCTGGGAATCCCCATTTTTAGCTTATCGAAAATGCGCTTTCACAATTTTATTAAAGGAATACGCTATTATTCAGAGGAAAAATTGTTTTTGACGGATTTGAATAATTTTAATACTGAATTAAATAAAATTAATTACCAACTAATTTAGCAAGATGGGGATTAATCCCTCAATTGAAGAAACAATCCTCAAATACTTGGGGCAAAACTCGGGCCATGAATGGCTTGAAACTGACCAAGTGCCAATCTCGATCTTTTGCTATCCGACGAGGAGCTAAGGGTTACCATCGGCTACCACATAAATGTAAACAGTGTGGGAAAATTCCGATCCTTATGACATGGTTTAGCCTGTTTATATTCTAAAGAAGACTATAGAGCTATTATCTCCAAAAAATAAGGATTGGCCAACTATCCAAATCTCCTGGAACCCGTCCACTTATCCCTTCGCATTTCAATAAGTGCCTCTTTTTCCCCATTTCTTATGTTTTTAAAAATATTTAGTAAAAAAAATGTACCCTTAAATTTTTAAAAATTATATATTTTTTCGGTTATCTATCGCCTTCATCAATCAGTAAATTATTTTTATTTATTAATTATTATTTTTTAAAATATTGATATGAAAAATTAGAATAATAGTATATCATTAGAAAAATGTTCTAACTTTTTTTTCAATTTGCTATTCTTGTTGTATATTTAAGAAAAAACAAAATAAAAGTACTATAATTTATTTTTTCCTCGACTCGAATATAACACATGATTCCTTTATTTTATTATAATCGGTTATTTATTATTCATAAATATTATAAAAAAATTTTAATTCATAAAAAATATTTAAAAGTTAATAAAAAAATTACAACAAATACGCCTTTTTAAAAAAATTAAACAACATAAATAAATAAATTTTAAAAAGTAAGATAAAAACTATTTATATTTGTAAATATAAATAAGAAAAGATTCATTATTTATTTATTAAAAATTTGATAAAAAAAACAAAAGAAAAGATAAACAAGCAAAATATTATAAAATTATTTATTTTTATTTTGTAATTTTATATAAAAAAAATAGAAAATTATTTAAAAATTTTAAAATTACAAATGCCGATTTGATAAAAATGTATTATTTTATTTGTTATGTAATATTATTTGATTTTTTTTTTCAAGTATATTAAATTAAAATGAAATATATTTTAAACAAAAAATAGGGAGAAGAATTTTTATAAAAAGAAGATGCATTTATATATAGATTCTGCGATGATCTCATCTTGATTACTTTTCTTATTCAATGGAGGAAAAGAAGTTTATCCATACTTTTATGATTTATTTATATTATTATTAATCAATTTCTTTATTATGAGTTATCTATCTCTGATTATTTGTCATGGTGAAATGTTTTATTCGAAACGATGCTGTTTTAATGGCATTTTAAATGTGAATGAATCGCCAAAACTTGTCAATTCATAAAAAAAAATCTTTTCATTCATAAATTTATTTAATATTTTATCGATCGGTTTCTGTTTGTTTTATTTTCCATTCCAAATTTCATTCATAAAAAATATTAAAATTAAATATTGATTTTTTTTTCGCCTTTTATAAACTTAGTGAAATTAAAATTTTTGATGTTGCTTAATATCTATCTTATCAACTTGAAAAATAAAATCCAAAGCTAGGAAAAGTAGCTATTCTCTATGTAGCGATGTAAAATCTCTCCACTTGGGCCGTTTTTTTAAAACGGCTAACTCAGTATTTTATCCACAAAAATAACACAAGCCTTAAGATTTTGCTCATAAATGGCACAAAGGTTTAGCGATTTTGCATCACTATCATGTAAGTCCATAATATTTTTGTACTAAATTATTTTGTTATCTTTTATTCTTTCCTTCCTAACTGATACCAGTTAATTGCTATTATTTTGACCTGATACAGGCGGATCTGATTTTAGGAATTTAGTATAGGGCCTCACAATGGTTTAAGCAACAAAACTGATCCTTAACCCATCTCTGGTTCATAAACCCAATTTAAATTTCAGATTTATGAAATAATAAATAGTAATCTCATTATATACATTTTTGTTACAAAAATACACAATTAATTGATTTGAATGTGTTTTTTAAAATCTGGGCAGTGTTAGCAAGAATTACTTCTCGAGTATACAATCTTAAGAAATTGATCCCCCCTCTCTACACCTTAAAAAAATCAGAAAAATTAGTATTGATACTTTTTTCACTGATATGGCCAAAAATATATCCTATTTGGGATTTCAAAGAAATGTAATTATTTTAATGTAAAATCACTGCTAATAAAATGTTATTAAAATTTTGGTTATTTACCTTTTTTGTGATTGAAACGATTTATAATCAAAAATTTATATTAAAATCTTTTTTCACTCTTTAAATAGTTAAGATTCATTGTCTTATCTGCTTTGAAATGAAACAATCTTGGTTAAGATTATTTTTTATTAGTGCTCCGATATTTTTGTCGATCATAAAATGGCCTGGTCTTAAATGTATATATACCTCAAAATTAACATCAAATTGGCAGCCAAATTTTTATGTTTCTATATCTTGGAATATCGATATAACATTAAATTTGTTATAAAACAATATTATTATAAGGAAATGTTAAAATCTGCCAGTCCAAAATTTGTTCAAAATCGTATCAAAAATTGTAAAAACCCGATCCAAAATAGTCTGATTTTGTTATCCAATACTGACCCCTCCATAAAATAGTTTTATTAACATTCCAAAATTGTTATACATTAAAAATGAACTTACAATCTCTAGCTGATTCCGAGATATACACACATAATCAGATTATTTTAGGATAGGTAAAAATATCATTGCAACCCTATTTTCTATTATTATTAAGTTGTTAATATCAATTTTGTATAAGAATCACCTTGATATTTATATTTTATTTCCTTGAAGCCAAATATTGGCTATAGCAACCTTCATTATAACCCTGCTGTTATTCATTCTAGTCAGATACTCGTTCTTACACCCACAGGCTTCTCTATTCTCCTTATACAATCTCCTAATTCTGTTTCAGCAATAAAATCCTCCCTAACTAAATCCCGCCATTTTTTAAGGTTCCCTTCTACTACCGATATTTATGCACTTTTTCAGATATAATCTAGCGATAACTTCTCTGTATTCTTTTCGTTCTTAATATTATCCTTTTTTGACTTGCTTGGTATCATCTGACAATTATTTAGTATTTTAATTACCTCCAACTTTTTTAAAACTTATTCGACCAATATTCGCTCTCATCGCCATTTAATAAATCTTCGACTTCCAGCGGAAATCTCTTATCTAGTAACACAAAGCTATCTTCTCTCCATTTCAACTTGGCCATTAGGTTCTCTTCTCTCAAATCACCTTCAAGCCTTCCGTCACACTGCAACACAATAAAGTTAACCCAAATTATTACATGTCTCTACCGCCTCCAATTTATAAACTTTTTCTCTCAAACCCTCTTGCTCTTCCTAGTCGCATTCAGATACATATGGTTATATTTCCACAAGTTTTTATTCTATATTCCTTCGCGCATTCCATAAATCAAGTTAATCATGTCATTTCGTAACATTCACTCACCACGATGACTCCATCCTTAAACTCAATTATCATTTATAAACTTTTAAAATAAAAAGGGACACTGCATACACTGACCTTAATCTGCTATCACCGCATGAACGCTAGATACACTTCATTCTTAACTATTGTCTTTTATCCTTATATAATATCCTTTACCACTTCACATACATCTATGATCCATGTTTTTGTAGTAAACACCACCAAATTCCTTGTAACTACTTGTTTTTGGTTAATTTATGTTTATATATATATATATATATATATAATATCATTTTTTTTTATTTTATAAATGATTTCATAATAATAAATTAATGAAAGGAACTAAAATATAATTTATTTATTGTGGTGTTTAAAAAAATAGTTAAAAATTTTACACCATTTTTTGTTAAATTATCTGCAACAAGAAAAAGATTTTGAATCTAACTAGTCACATTCCGCTAGTGTTGAGGGGGGGGGGTGTAATTTTTATTAGCTTAAAATGATATTTACGAGAATAGGCAATATTGCGATGGTCCTCCCTTGGTTACGCGCCTGATCGGATCGGTGAAAAATTTGTAGATCGGCACAGTCCTATTTGCAAATACCTCGTCCATTGTTGTTTATCCTCCCTCGTTGTATATATATTGATATATTAAAGAAGGTAATATTCTTCCCGTGCAGACTCTTATTATGTAACGTTTGACCTTTCCCACCGACAATATAATTTTTTAAATAAATAATACTATGTGAAAAAAAAATATTTTAAGCAAAAAATTAATTTTAAAAAAGTAAAAATTGATCCTCTCAGTCTTGTGCCAAAACAGGACTGGTTTTTGTGATTCGGCGGACATAATGTTCTAAATACGTATCTATATATAGTTTCTATATATAAACTATAATTATTAATTCGCTACTTATTAATTTGTAACATCTTTATGATATTCATAACTGTAGATTCCATCACTTTTTTTCCTTCCTATTGTCACATCCCCAAAGGGCCATTTTTTGCCTATAACCAGGCGTGTACGCAGAAATTTTATGGAGGGAAAATAATTAAAAAAAAATTCTAGGCAAAAATATCTTAAGTTTATAAGACTAACACTAATGACTATCTATAAAATAAGTGTCTCGAAATGTAACTTGTTATAGTATTTAAAATTTGACATATAAATTTATATTATATTTAAAAAAGTTAAATGTTAGAAATATTAAATGCATAAAATTCTTATGAATTATTGCATGTGTATTAACCTACAAAGTATTTATGAAAATAATGTGTAAAAGTATAATTAAGAAGCATATTAGAAATTTATAATGTGAAATTCAATCTTTTTTAGGATTTAGCTAATTTTTCAATGATTTCATCAGAGCATGTGTAAACTTCTTATATATATTAAGAAGGGCTAACTAATTCAAGCAATTTTCATAGGTAGTACATCTAAGATATCTTTTTATTCTTCTTAAAGAATAAAATGTTCTTGCCAAAATGTACAGTAATTTCTATATATTAAGAAATTAGTCAAAAATGTGTTTGAAATTATGCAATGCATCTGTAACATTTTTTGGAACATTATCAGCTGCAGTTAATCTTTTATACCATGTTTACATTTAGCTTGAAATAGATTCGAAAGGATTCAGCTTGCCAGATTTGTAGTACTATCTTAAATCAAAACCATTTATTCATTTGAGTAATAAAAGTATCCAAGAGGAGAATAAAGAAGTTATATTTATAGTATTATTTGAATGACCCTATATTAGTATTAAAACGTTGGACTTGCCTTGTTGCGAGGAGGTAGACAAATATTAAATTCTTAGAGCTATTCTTTTGACTCAACAATGACATATAATTTATGAAATTCGTCATCTACATTTACCCTAATTTCCTTAAGTTCCAATCAGCTATTGTCATAGTTTTAATCAAATCGATATCATTTTTTTCAAAATTAAATAATTTTTTAATACATTTTAGTAATAGATTGTAGTATTGTGCCCAATAATCTGTCTGCTTCTGAAGAAATGACTTTTTCAGGCCATTGGGTTATTTTAGTAAGAACATTTATAATAGACTTTTCAAACCCTATAAAAGCCGTTACTGCTTGAAAACATATGCCTCATCTTATTGGATAAGCTTTTTGTAATTTTTATCTCTTGGATTAACATCTCCTAGATACTAAATATTTTGAGTAATGTAAAATGAAAAATTATAATCATAATAAATAAAATTAAACCTAAGGAATTTGATATCTATGGTAATCAATACTGGTAAAAAAATCCTTATATCCATTCTTTAAATATTAATTTTTGAAATTTTACCTTAGCTTTGCAGGAAATTTTTTTAAAATGATTCTGTCGGAAATTTTAAAATTATATATATAACGCCAAAATTTGAAATCGATATAAGTTGTTAGCATATATATTTATGCTATAAATGTGATAAATAAATGTAAATTGAATTATATATGTTATAAGAGGTAGGAAGGATTATTAAATATAAATTATAATCATAAAACATTTAAAAAAAATTTAAAATATTTTAACTGGCATTTAAATTTTTTGCCTTGTTAGTTTAAAAAAATCTAGAGAGCAAATTAGACATTTTATCAATGAAGCCAAAGAATTTCTATAAATTAAAAAAAAATTGAAATTTTAAAATATAATTATGGTTCCTTTTTGGGAACCCAACTTTTAATTGATAATTATTATGGGGTTTACTGATACCACTTTTTG